AACACTTTTTTTTTTTATTTCAGCATGTTATGGGGGTACAGATGATTAGGTTACCTATGATGCCCTTACCCTCCTTCCCCCCCAAGTCCGAGCTTCAAGTGTGTCCATTCCCCCGGAGGTGCGCATCGCACTCATTGTTTGTGCATATGCCCGCCCCCTCCTCCCCTCTCCCCCTGCCCAACGTCTAATACATGTTATTCTTATATGTGCACTTAAATGTTGATCAGCTAATACCAGTTTGATGGTGAGTACAGGTGATGCTTGTTTTTCCATTCTTGGGATACTTCACTTAGTAGAATGAGTTTCAGTTGTATCCAGATAATACAAGAGGTGCTAGATCACCATTGTTTTTTGTGGCTGAGTAGAACTCCATGGTTTACATATACCACATTTTATTAATCCACTCAGGTATTGATGGGCACTTGGGTTGTTTCCACATCTTTTCAATTGTGAATTGTGCTGCTATAAACATTCTAGTGCAGATCTCTTGTTTATACAATGTCTTTTGTTCTTTTGGGTAGAATGTGTTCCAACACTTTCCAAGAGTATATAAGAGGTGCTATATCACCATTGTTTCTTAAAGCTGAATAGTACTCCATGGTATACATATACCTTAGTCGGCATCTACCCAAAAGAGCAAAAGTCTCTCTATGAAAAAGACCCCTGCACTTGAATGTTCAAAGCAGCACAATTCACAATTGCAAAGATGTGGAAACAACCCAAGTGTCCATCAATACATGAGTGGATTAATAAACTGTAGAACACTTTTATCAACCCAGAAGTTCTGTCATGCCCCTTTCCAGTCAAGTCCCCCAGATACTACTTCTTTTATGCTTTTTATCATCCAATTTTAGTTTTTCCAATTCTAGAGCTTCACGATAAGTGATCAAAGCATTTATTCGTTTGTGTTTGGACTCTGTTTTTGAGATTCGTCACATTTTTGTGTGTATCATCCATCCATTATTTTTCTCTGCTAAAGAGTGTTTGGTGAAGAGTATTCTGCAATGTCTTCTCTGACAACTTCCATCTTTAAATACAGTATATTTACAATTAATGTAATTTAGATTTTTAAATTTAGGTTCCCCATTGTATGGATTCTAGAATGCCAGAAGATTCACATATTTATTTCTAAGCTTTTATTCCACTTAGCATTGTGTTTTTCTGCAGGTATTTTTTTCATTTAATGTATATTTATTT